ATGAATCTGATCCATCATTGTGTCACTTCTTCATCTATGTTTGTAAACTAAAATACCACTGTGGCTGAGTCCTTTAATCCTTTCAGAGCTATCTACCAAGGTAACCTTCTATCTCTTTATATCTTTGTCCTCTATATTGAGAGGTCTGCTCATCTCATTAATGACAAAATTTGTAGCAAAAAATGAGCTCCCTTTACCTTTAGTAATAATGGTCTAGTAATTTCTCACATCTTTTTTGCTAATGACATTATTCTTATAGCTAAAGCAAATTTACAACAAGTCACTGTTATTAAATATGTTGTTAATAATTTTTGTTTTGCTTCTGGTATGAAAATTAATTATAGCAAGTCTTCTTTATTCTTCTCTAATAACATTGATTCTACTTTAGTTTTTAGTATTAGTGATACTTTATGTATTACTCCTTCCAATCAATTAGGTAGGTACCTTGGTATTTCCATTAGTCACCATAAACCTAAGAAAACATTTTGCTTTCCTTATTGATAAGATTAAGAAGAAACTATCCCGCTGGAAAATGAATTCTCTTTCCCTAGCTGGTAAGTAAGGTGACTTTAGTCTAGTCTAGCTTAATGAGTATTCCTTTTTATGTTATGCAAATTATGATTATCCTTATCTCTGTGTGTAATGAAATTGATTATATACATTGGAGCTCTTTAGGGGTAGGAAGTGTCATTTAATTATATGGCAAAAAGATTGCAAGCCTAAATAAGAGGATGGCCTGAGGTTCAAAAAATATGTAAATGCTTAACAAGGCTTATTCTATGGAACTTTGCTGGAGGATGATCTCTTGTCCCTCTTCTCTTTGGGCCCAAGTTATTAGCGCAAAATATAAGTTTATGCCTAGTCAAATTCCTTGTGATAGGAATACGAGAGTGTCTCGTGTTTGGGATGGTGTAGTTTCTATTTGGCCCTTATTTTCTCACGGGCTATGTTGAACTATTAGAGATGACTGATCCATTAAATTTTGGATAGATAAATGGAATCCTCCTTATAATAAGATATATGATTATTCCTTTTTCCCTATTCCTAAGACTGATTTGGCCACCCATGTAGCTTTGTTTGCTTCTAATGATGCTTGGGATTGGGATAAGATGTCACACGTCCTATTGCAGCAAATGCTTGTCAAAAAGCATTTGTAACGAATCGTATATGAGATTTTTGTTTATTATTAGAAAATTAGGTTTTTATTGAATAACGGGTAGTTTAAAATTTTGAGATTTGTTTCAAATTGTTAGTAATTTAATTTATAAAATTGAAGTTAATATTTTTTTTCTTACTTTATTTGTCCTCTTGTTATTTTGTGGCTCAATCGCTAAATCTGTCAAATTTTCCCTTCATGTATGGTTACTAGGTGTTATGGAAGGACCTGCTCCCATTTCCGCTCTTATACATGTTACTACTATGGTAGTGGTGAGAATTTTTCTTGTAGCTTGACTTCTTCCTCTTTTCATAGTTTTACCTTACATAATGAATGGAATAACTTTTATAGGTATAATAACAGTAGTCTTAGGAGCTACTTTACCTATTACTCAAAAGAATATTAAGATTTGGCCTATTCTACAATGTCTTAATTGGATTATATGATATTAGCTCTAGGTATAAGATCTTATCGAGTTGCTTTATTTCATTTGATCACTCGTGCAAAAGCATTGTTATTTTTAGAATTTGGATCTAGCATTGCTTCCTGATCCTATCTGCAAGTCCATTGCCCAAATAAACCCTTTACCTTAACTAAGGGTTCTAATTTTATTTTTTTGAACTTGACAAATAATGACACTTTCTCAATTAAATCTATGTATTAGCTAGTTTACAAAGCTACCCATGGGAGTGATGGTACCTAAGAGGTTTTAGGTTAGTTTGGCAATGGGATGAACCCCTAAAATTCCGTTCCTCCTTTGAAAAATTGGACAAGGAAAGTTAATGACTAATGAGGAGTGGTATAATAGAGGCATGGCTGCATCCCCTTTATGTCCTAGATACGGGGATGCTCTTGAGTCTATTACGCATGTCTTTAAGGATTGTTTCTATGCTAGGGAAGTCTGGGAGCATTTTATTTTTCCTAATCAGTAGGTCCTTTTTTTTAGCAAAGGTATTACTGATTGGCTAACCTTAAATTTATCTAAATACAATTTCAGCAAGTTTTCTAATTGATAGAAACTTTTTAGAGTTATTGTCCGGCACTTATGGAAAGGCATGAATTTTTAATTTAAAAAAATTATTTAAATTAGCTTAACTAATTATAGACTTTTTTTTGTTGTGTAAAACTAAGTAATATATCATATATTAGATTACAAAGACAAACAAAGACATCACACATAAAATATACTTAAAAGCAATAATCAAATCTTAAATATATTCATAAATCTGTATTAAAATAGTTAAAAAATATTTAATATTTTTAGGACGGTATAATATTTTAATGTATTTATATTGAAATTATATTTATATATTTTTAAAATAATTAAGAATTTAATAAATAATATATATATTTTTACTTATTTCTAATTTAATCTATATGTTTCCTTTTATTTAGTATTTTAATTTTTTATTAAATTTTATTTAAATTAATATTTTTTATTTTAATATTTTTTTAAAAAGCATTATTATATCATTAAATTACTTTATTGATTCTTAATTAAAATATAAATGATTAACAAATCATATTAATTATTTTAAAAATTAAAAACAAATGCATAAGAAAAATTAATAAATTTATTATTTTAATTTTATAAACTACAGAACATAAATTTATTATAATTAATTATTTATTTAATAAAATTAATTAATTTATAATGTTAATTTGTAGTAATTCTATTATGTTATCATGTAATATAGAATAATTTAATTATTTTAAAAATTTAATTTTATATTTTATATTTTGTTAATCGACAAGTAAACTTATAAATTAAGAATGTATTTTGTATTATTATTAGTTTTTATTTATAATATTTTGTATGGTAATTTTATTTATATAATAAAAAAATTTAATATATTTTTTAAGTATTAACATATAATTTTATATATATCTATATTAAAATTATCTTTTTAAAATAAAATAATTTTTATTTTTATTTTCAACTTATTTACTATATTTTTTAATTTTATTTAAATTATTATTATTAATATTATTATTATTAGTTTGATGAGTTATATGATAAAAGTTTTACTAACAGTTTTAAATTATAATTACAAATGAATAATATATCATATAAATTCAGTTTAATAAACATATAAAAATGCATAAGTAAAAAATTATAGGATATTTTATTTAAAATTTATAATTTATATTAAAAAATTTTGTTCTATTTAATAAATTATTGTTATAATTGTTTATTTTTAAATTTTATAATAACAAATGATTTTATGAGATTATAAAATAACATAAATTTTATTTTTAGATTTTAATAATAAAAATTTGATGCTATTTAAGATTAATTTTTAAAATTTATCATAAATAATTTTTTATAATTTATCAAACATTATAAGTTAATTTAATTAACTTTAAAAAAAATACTAAATTTTATAAATTTTTTCTTCATAATACTGTTCCAATATGTATGATAATTTTTTAAAATAAATTTATGTATATAACAATAAAAATAATGTATTTTATTTTGCATATCTATATAAATTTTTTACATATTTATAATGAAATTATTATTATTATTCTAAATAAAATCATGACAATAATAAAAAATATATTTTCTTTATTTATATATTTAATTAACATATTTTTTTTACTCTAGCATTTTAAATTTATTTATTTCTATAAATCAATAAATAACTGAAATTAAAAATATTTAAAAAATATATTAATTATTATTAATTTATTATGTATCATAATAAATTTATTAATTTATTCTCATAATCATAAAAAAATAATATAATTTTTAGATAGTAATAAAATATTTGTTAATGTCATCATTAAATTTTTTTAATTAATTTATAGAATTTTTAAAAAAATTTCATGTAATAATGTTAATATTTTAGTATGCTGATATTTATTTATTTATTTTTTAAATTTATTATAATTATTTCTATATGCTATTTATTTGTTATAATTTATTTAAAATAATTATGAATATGTATCATAAAAAAATAAAAATTTAATTATTTATTTATTAGTATTTTTTAAAATGCAACATATTATTAGTTTTATTATTATCTTAATTAATTGTTTTTAAAGTTTTAAAATATTATCTTAATTCTATTATTATTAAATTAATAAATAGTCATTTAAAGTTATTTCATATTTTAAAATTAACTTACTTTTTTATTTCAATTATAACATGTTAACTAAGTAATATAAAATAGCCCTTACCAGATGACAAAATGAAAAATACCCTCAATTAAAAGTTCAGAAAATATTACTTGTATGATGCCAATTTCGTTAACACCGACTATCTTATTATTGCTGGTATTTACAATGAGGACCCTTATGCTAATCCTGCCAGCAAACGACGTCGTATAGGTAGGTTCTGCTGCTGCCATAGCGTTAGAGTCGAACCACTATTCGTACGCTAACTTAAACCAAGCAGCTCCTTGCAACTCCAATTTCTCTTCTTACGGTCTGAACCATCTCCGTCTTGTTTTCATCGTTAGTACTCACTGTTGTCTTTAAATGGTACTAATCTCTCTCTCTCTCTCTCTCTCTCTCTCTCTATATATATATATATATATATATATGTAATGTATGTATCTATGTATGTATGTCTGCTTTACCATTCTCGATTCCCACACATGGGGCATGTAGCTCGCAGTGTTTGTAGAATTTGCACCAATAAGAAGGAAAGTAAACAGAAAGAAAGAAAAGCTTCACTCTGGTTATTTTTTTTTTCCTTTGTCAGTTATTAATTGTTAAAAGATGGAACGGAACCCATGTCGTTGTTTGCAATTCTGTGTTGTTCCTTAATTTTATAAACCTCACCAGTGACTGAGGTAAGGAAGCACGTCTTCAATTTCTGCTTGGGATTTTTTTTTTGGGGTTCATATAAAGTATTGGGGGTTGTTGGATTTTATCAAGTGGAAAAATAAATGTGGCTTTCCTTGAAGGACCAGCATCAATGAATCATGTCGAAATGAAACAGCGACCCATGTTTTGATTTGTAAAATTAAATGATTCTGCTGTTGTGAATTTTGGTTTCGTTGCTGTTTCCGTGGTAGAAATTTGTTATGTGGAACTTAAATGGTGCTTACCAGTTCTTTCGTTGTTTCAACTCGCTCTCTCAGCATGCTAGTAGGCATTGTCTTATACATATTGCTCGTTTACAATACCATCTATTACTTGCTATAAAATATAATGTAATATGTTTGTATTGTTTCTATTGTTATGTCAGATGGGTACATTTGGTACATTGATTTCAGAGATGAGGAGTGTTACAACTGGAGATTCTAACGGTGGTTCAGTTGAAATGGAGGGTTTCAAGCAACGTGTTGGTGAGATAATTTCAAAGGTTGATAAGGCAAGTGTTTTTAGTGAAAATTATCATGCAATTCACTAATTTTGTGCTTGGTAAAATTATAATCTTTTCAACAGATTATTTGATTTGTATTGAAGGTTATATTTTATCATTCCCCGTTGAGCTTTTTTACATTTTTTACTCCTAAATTGGAATCCAATCCTGTACTAGTTGCCTGTTTGTGACAAGTGTACATGATTTTGATGGCTTATACTCCCTCTAATCCTTTTTATATGGCACCTTTAACTAAATTACACAAATCAATAAAGAAGTTGAAGTTGGTTGATTGTCTTGATCTTTTAAAAAATATTATAACATGACAATTTTACCCTGATTTAATACCATTGAACCTAATACCACTATCAATATTTTCTTATTTTAATTTGGGTTCCTGCCAACTTTATTTAATAAGGGAGAATGGAAAAACATAATAAATGCTTCATAGAAACTCTAAATTGCCTTATAAAAAAGAGACCATCAAAAGCTTTTAGAATGTGTTTTATAAAAAGGACTAGTGGGAGTATACAACAACAATAGCCAAGCCTTATCCCACTAGAGGGAGTATATGGGTTGCAATGAGATTAGACTTGAGTTTTGTTTTTAATATTTGCCTCTCCTTCAGTTCATGAAAATAATATTATTTGTGTGGCTTGAATTTTAATTGAGGGTGCTTTATCCAACATGCACATTTATCACACATTAGTTAAGCCTTTGAGAAGGAGGCATTGTAGCTATGGTAAGACAATAAGGCATGCTGCTTCCTTTGTAAAGATCTATCAAGTAAAATGTTAGGGCCCAAACCAATGAAAGTGGGACTTGGAGGGTCTATGTAAGAATGGGGAAAAGAGAAAAAAAACAGTTAGGGTGCAGTTAGCCAAGTTACTTGGGCAGATAGTGGGGCATGTAGATAAATAGTCAGGAATGGACATGAAGGGAGGTGCGTGGAGATTTTCATTGTTGTAATAGGGGAGATACTCTTGGAGGTGGCTTTGCACCTTGAATTCTTGAGATCAATAACAGAAATTTATTCCTTTCATCATGATATTTCCTTTTCTCTCTCAATCTTTTTTGGGATTCATAACAAGTGGTCCTACCTGTCTGTTCCAAATCAACAAAGAGATGGAACAACAAATTGAGTCCTTGAAGATTTTGATCGAACTCTGGCTGGAATCTTTTGATCAATGCCTTCACAAATATTTGGTTTGACTACGGTGACACTTTCTCCCCTGTTCTCAAAATGACATTTGTCTAGCTACTCATATTTATGGCTGTTATTTGTCATTGGCTCCTTTTTTAGCTTGATATCAAGAATGCCTTCCTTCATGGTGATCTTGAAGAAGTCTATATGGAGTAACCTCTTGGATTTGTTTTCAGAGGGAGTCTTGAGGACTTGTTTGTCGTCTTCAGAAATCCTTTTATGCTCTCAAACAATCTTCAAGGGCATGGTTTGGTAGATTTAGCATTGGGAGTTCAATAGTTTGGCATAACTCAAAGTGTAGTAGATCACTCCATTTTTTATCGTCATTCAACCTCAGGTTGTATTTACTTAATTGTGTATGTAGATGATATTGTCGTTATAGGAAGTGAGCACCATGGCTTTGAACTGGTAAAGCAACACCTTGTTTGTACTTTCAAACAGAAGATCTGGGCAAACTTTGATACTTTTTGATGGGGACCACACCTCTTGATACTCCTATGGATCCTAATACCAAACTTCTACTAAGCAGAGGGAGCCACTTTCAGATCAAGAAAGGTATAGAAGACTTGTTGGAAAATTTTATCCGATAGTTACTCACCCAAAATTCTCTTTTGCAGTTAGTGTGGTGAGTTAGTTCCTTAACTCTTCTTGTGATGGATGTTGGGATGCAGTAATCTGTATTCTGAAATATGTTAAAGGAATTCTAGGAATAGGTCTTACATGAAGACAAAGGACACACTTAGGTTATGAGATATTCAGATGCAAATTGGGCAGGATCACCTAGTGATAGGAGGTTTACATATGGCTATTGCATCCTTATTGATAGAAATCTAGTTTCTTGGAAAAGCAAGAAGTAAGGTGTAGTTACAAGGTCTAGTGTAGAAGGAGAATATCGAGCCATGACTTTAGTCACTTGTGAACTTATATGGCTTAAACAACTACTTAAAGAATTAAGATTTGGAGAAGTTAGACAACTGACACTTATTTGTGATGATCAGAAAGCTTTACATATTGTCTCAAATCCAATTTTTCATGAGAGGACTAAACAACATGTCGAGAGAGATAGACTCTTACTTCACTAGAGTGAAGATTTTATCTAGAGACATCATTGCTAGTTTTGGAAATTCTCATGATCAATTGGCAAATGTCTATCAAGTCTTTAACTGGTCTTCAAATTAGTTATATATCCAACCAACTTGGTGCATATGATTTATATGCCCCTGCTTGAGAGAGAGCATTGGAATTATGTAATTATAATAATACTGTAAAGACTTAAATATGTGATTGGTCCTTGTAAATATAGCACATTTTGCGATAAGTTTTTAAAATTTTTTTTGTTACGATATACTCCTTAAAAAGTTAACAAGTTAGGATTTAGTCCCAGTTGCCAACTCAACACTCCCACGTGACATGCAACGTCATTTAATTTTACAATATTTTATTATTTAAAATTAATATTTACAAATATGTCTCTGAACATATTTTTAATATTTTTGTGACTGAAACCACCAATGTAAACATCCTGTACATGTATATTTATGTTTATACTAATTATAAGTTGAAAATATATGCTTTATACCAAGTAACGAAGCAGGGGGAAGGGGGTGGGGGTGGGGTAGCGGAGAAAGGGAAGGGGGAAGGAACTTTTCTGCAAATATTAATAATATGTTTATGTACTTATTTGCAAATATTTTTATATAATAAAATATTATAAAATTTAATGATGTAGCATGCCAAGAGTGAGTGGTTAGCTGACTCTGTCAACTAGCTCAACATTTAATAGAAAAGAGTTGACGGCAGAGACTAAATCTTAACTTCTTAACTTTTTAAGGATTAAAACTTAACAAAATTTTTTTATAAGAACTTATCATAAAATGTGTTATATTTATAGGAACCAATTACATATTTAAACCTACTGTAAATAAGAAAATTAGTATTTTTGTAATTACAGTAATTCCGTAATTGTATGTTCTATGTCAATAATTCTTACTCTAAATACATGTTCGGCTGTGTAATGAATACATGTATTCATCCTATGTTTCTCATTCTCTTTTTCGCAATAACAACAATTGGAGTTTAATCCTCTAACTTCATTTGCTACTCCTATTGCCTCTTTGTTTTCGTCTCTTGAACAAGAACTTCCCATTGCTTTGCACAAAGGTGTCAAGTCCCCTCGTAATCCTAATCCTATTTATGTTTGTCAATTGAATTATAATCACATATCTCTTACTCTACTTTTGGTTCTTCATTAGATTCTGTCTATACATCAAAATACAGATGAGGCTCTGTCTAATCCAAGATGGTGATAAGCAATGGTGGATGAAATGGCTACCTTACACTCCAATGGCACTTGGGATTTAGTTCCACCCTCTAGGTAAGAGTACTGTTGGTTTTCTGTGGATATATGTTGTCAAGCTTGGACTTGATGGAAAGGTAGGCTGCTTAAAAGCAAGATTAGTGGTTGTTGAAGTCCCACATCCACTATAGTTATGGTTAAACAAGAGCTTATAAAGGCAAAAACAATCTTCAACTTACGAGCTAATTTTTGGGGTTGAGTTAGGCTTAAAGGCCAAATTTAATAGTGGCCAATAGCTACACTTCGATATTTGGTCTTGGCTATGGTGATACTTTCTTTCCTATAGCCAATATTGCTTCTGCTCGTCTCTTTTTAGCTCTTGCTGCCATTCATCAATGGCCTCTTCATCAATTAGACATTAAGAATGCTTTTTTCACGGAGAAGTACTCTAGTCTATGTGGATCAGCCTCCAGGTTTCTCACCACACATGAAGCGTCACCTTTGGTGTGTCACCTATCATTCTCCCTTTATGGCCTAAAGTAATCCCCACGTGCTTAGTTTGGATGTTTTAGCACTGTCTTACTGCAATATGAAATGACTCACTAGAGCCCAATCTCAAGCTTCTTCCAGGTTAGGGGGAGGCTTTGAAAGACACAGAAAGATACTGACGCCTAGTTGGTAAACTTAGCTACCTCATAATCACTAGACTTCACATCACCTTTAAATACTCCTTGTGATAGTCATTGGAAAACAGTTATTCGCATTCTCAGATACATCAGATAGAAGATACAAGGGAAACAATACAATTGTTGGCTACTTTGATGCTGATTGGGCTAGGTCACCATCAGATAGAAGATCTATGTTTGGATATTGTATTTTTATTGGAGGAAACTTAATCTCAAGGAGGAGCAAGAAACAATACACTATTACCAGATTCAGTGCAGATGCTGAATATCGTGCTATGGGCGTGACTACATGTGAATATTTAGTTGAAACAATTACTCCTATAACTTAAAATATGAGAGATTGATAAGATGAAGTTGATTTGTGATGATCAGGCTGCATTACATATAGCATGTAATCCATTTTTTCATGGATGAATTATGTACAGAGATTAATTGTCATTTTGTTAGAGAAAGGTTTCTCTCATGAGAAATTAAACAAGTTTTGTACGCTCCAATGACCAGTTGACCGATTTGTTCACTAAGTCGTTGAGTGGATACTTCAAGTAGAATATATTTGTAACAAGTTTAGTACATATGACATGTAGCTTTAATTTGAGGGGGACTGTTGATATGTATATACGGTAATTATGAGCATAGTATCGGGATTGTGTATCTGTAAATATGGTAAGTAGGAATATAATATCAGGATTCCATTTATAGATCCTTGTACACTTGTATAAATTTAGGCTTTTGGGTCAAATGCAAAACACACAAAAATATTCAAAACACGTCTTCTCTTTTCTATAATACAATTAATTGATATTGGTTGCAGTAAATTGCTCAAAACTAACATGCAGGCAGGCTTTATATTGGTCACAGTCCTTTCTGCTATTTAAGTCTCTTTTATCCAAATAATGCTTGCTTAAAGTTATGTCTGAAATGATAAAATATAGATTTCTGGTATGCCCTATAACAAAATGTTTAACATAGATTTTAATATTTGAAGAGTAATAAGTTGCTCTTGTGCTCTTAGCTATTGGTAGGCTCTTAGGATGGTTTTAATTTGCATGTCAATCATGCTGCCTTTTATGTGTTTGATTGCTCTTTTCTAATTTTACACTTCAAGAAGTTTTCTGTGTTATGTTTTTGTTTTTTTCCTACAGCTTGAGCAGAAAGTAAATGATATAGAGGATTTTTACTTGAGTGTAAATAAAAAGCAAACAAATATGCCTAAAGTTAATTCAGCTGCAAAGGATAAAGAGAAGGAGAAGCATGTTCCAAGTATTAAAAAGCAACAGCAGGATGCCTCACGTAGAGAAGTGGTTTCTACAAAAAGAATGCAAGATCTCATGCGCCAGTTTGGCACAATATTACGCCAGGCAACTGTTTTATATATACTGTAGATGTTTGTGTCGGTGTTCTGTGGTTTTTGAACATGTTATCTTTGTGCACATGCCTTAAGAGATGTTAATTGTCTATTTGTTTAGTTATTGTTTTCATTTCTTCACGATATTTTTGCTGTCATTTTGTACCTTGTTATTTCCACTTATGATCATATAATTTTGAATTTCTATCGCATCAACTGAATCAATTCATGATTACTATACTAAGTGAGTTACAACATAAAATTATAATTTTTACATGTTTTTTTTATGTTTAAACTATTGATCTTTTTCCTCTCTTAAATAAAAGTATGGTGTTCTTTGTGTTTTGTTTACCTATAGTGTTCTTTCAATGGGCTTTTATTGTAGACAACAATTTACTTTGATGTGTAGGTCATGCAAAATTAGTCCCTCAGATTGTAGCGGTTGTGTATGTTAGTCCCTTACTTTTTAAAATTTCTCTGTTAGTCCCTGACGTAGCAGTTTGTCATGCATTTAAGTCCCTAACATTCAAGGTAGTTAAATTGGGATTCAAATTGTGAATCTTAAGTCCTATTTTTTGATTCGTGAATTGAATCGTATCTTGAATTGTAAATAACATAAATATAAGTGCACTGTAACATAAAGAAACATCAAAACATCTATATATTAATATTTTGAAGTTAAATAGTATATAGCTAATAATGTGACATACATTTGTCAGCAAACTAGGATTCAAATCATAAGAGTCACATTACCAAAGAAAAGTGATTGCTCACAGTCACATTACCAAAAAAAAGTGATTGCTCAAATTCAACATATAGTCTTTCAAAAAGATAAATAAAAAATAACAGCAAGTCACTATAGCAAAAGTTCAAATGGATAATGTATGAGCATTCGTAATCTTCAAGATCTTTGTCACTTAGTTCATCCTCTTCATCTTTCAAAATAAAAAATTCTTCCTCTTCCACCCCATGTCTAATAATGCCTTGAATTTTATCTTCATCTTCTATTATATATATATATATATATATATATATATATATATATATGTATGTATTTCAAAATAAAATAAAATTTTAAGGTTTTTTTGCCCCCAATATCAACTTATGTTTTTCAAAGGTGAATTGGGCATTTTGCCTTGAATGGGTTGCTGATTTGTTTCTAGATTTTTACCAATAAAATGGAGAAATACACTTTATTGTGTCTCTATTTTGGATCAGTTGTTAAAACCAGCTTTCATCTTTGAGAGGCTTTTATTTATGAAGATTCTATTCCCAGAACAGTCTACACAAATTATTATTATATTCATCTGGTGATGTCATCTAGTTTGATTACTTGCATTTTCCTTGCTGTTTTTGTGGTATTTTTTTTATGCAATGGTTGTAAATTGAGCAGTTTAGACTTTAGACAATGCCATTGGGTGGAGGTGTTTTGAGGGGCAGACGTGATTAGGTTAGGTTGCGGCATGACTTTTTCTATTTCCAAATTACGAATAGTTCTTTATGAATGAATTGGTGTTTTTCTGCTAGATCACACAACACAAGTGGGCTTGGCCTTTTATGCACCCTGTGGATGTAGAGGGTCTTGGTTTACATGATTATTATGAGGTATGATTCATATATGCATACAAGTTTCACTATCTTACATTTGCATTAGTAAGGTCAATGGTGTATTTTACTACTGATATTCATAGATTTAGAGTTTCTTTACATTCTTTTTTCCTTTGAGGTTTTCTTCTATTTTGTTGTGTAATGTAATTCTTCCTTTTTCTCTTAAATAAATTCTATGCAAAGAAATGGAAGTTATTTTGAAATACACAACGTAATTTTGTGGTTGTGAATTAATAATAGAAACTTAATTAGCTGATTGAATCTTTCATTCAGCAGTGCGTTTCAGAAAACTGACTTTCCATAAAATTCTTGTTTCATGCTTTTGATTGATCTGTAGTATATGGTATTTGCTAGGTCATTGACAAACCCATGGATTTCAGTACCATTAAGAATCAAATGGAAGCAAAGGATGGTACTGGGTATAAGCATGTTCGGGAAATATGTGCTGATGTGAGGTTGGTTTTCAAGAATGCTATGAAATATAATGACGAAAGAAGTGATGTTCATGTGATGGCAAAAACTTTATTGGCCAAGTTTGAGGAAAAATGGTTGCAACTTCTGCCTAAAGTTACCGAAGAGGTAACTTAATTCCAATGAATTGTTTCTAGACCAATTGCTGAGTAGGATAGAAGATTACTAACTCAGATATTTTGTGATCCTATTTCATTACAGAGAAGATTCTTTCTCATGAAATTTTCTTGATACCTCTTATCATTTGTAGGAAACTAGACGAGAAGAGGAGGAAGCTGAAGCACAATTAGCCATCCAAGTTGCTCGAGAAGCAGCTCATGCTAAAATGGCTAGAGACTTAAGTAATGAGGTATTCATAAGAGGTTTACATCTTTATTAAATGACATAATATGGGCCCATGAGAATCTAATCAAACAATTTATAGACCTTTTCTTCAAGCATCTTCAATATGCATTTGATATGAGAAAATAAGAGTCATATGTAATTGTGCTTAAGATGTGTGCTGTATTTTTTCAGCTGTATGAAGTTGATGTGCTTTTAGAAGAGCTACGGGAGATGGTTGTTAAAAGATGCAGGTTAGCTTCGTTACACCATATGTTTCCTGAAAAGCTGGCCCAAAAAATACTTGATATATTTGGGCCTAAATTTTTGTATGCTTTCTCAAATTATGTGCTTACTTGGTAACATAATATTTCCATTTCTTCATTCAATTTTTTATAATTTTTCTTGACTTTTTTTTTCTTGGGTCTGAGCTGTTTTATCCTCTGATGTCAGAAATAACATGAAATTATTAAGAACAAAGGTGTTAGTGTATGTTAGTAAAGCTGTAACTTGCTGTAGTAATTAACTTGGTGTTATGACAATTGTAGTGATTAGGATTAGTGAACACTATATGCATAAGTCTCTTTCTGTATCAGATTCAATAATATTCAGAAAAATTAATCTCTCTCTCTATCCTCTGTTAATTAACATGGTATCACGAGCTTGACGATCTGAGCAATCCATTCATTTCTGCTGATATTGGTTCTCCACCATTGGCGTGTTCCAATGCTCTTATTACTTTCTGGCACACTATCTTTATGGGTCTTGATGAGAAGAATTTCCTTCTCTAGAAGCAGCAAGTTGAGGTGGTGATTAAAGTTCATCTTCATCAATAATTTGAGATTCTGCTATGATTTCTCAATGATGAAGATTCAAAACATCAGGAAACTTAAGGGAGACCTTTCACTTGAAACAGAAACACTGATTGATTAGGGTAAAAATTGAATGAATAATTATTTTCAGTGGCCATGGCATTTGCAGTATAATTCTCTACAAATTGAATCCCCTTGATATGGTGATTGCGTGAGTAATTACAGCTGCTCCTAATTAACTTAATTACAAATCAAATTAGTCAGATTTCTATATACAAGGAAAGTGCTAACATTGATAATGGAACAAAAAAGATTTCTACACTTCCAACCATGGGAGCGACAGGATTAGTTGCTTTTCTTGTGCCTTCTTTCGTCTTTGCCTGAAGCCATTCTGATAGGTCACTCCATTGATAGCTTGTCTAAATAAACAAATTACTTAGTTAATCTCCATTAGTTGGTTAGTTAGGTGAGTTAGTTGAACAAGGCATGTTGCCTATAATAAGTGTGGAGATTAAAGAGGGAGGGGGATTGGTTAAAGGAAATTGGGGCCTCTATGGCATTGGGAGGTGCCGGCCCTTGAAGTTCTGCAATGTGAGTTTTGTAATTGGGATTCATCCCTTGTTCTTCTTAATAAAATACCTAGTTCCTATCACATTCTCACTTGAGTGGTTGGCATAGTTGTTAATCTCAGATAGCGGCAAATAGCAGCTAACCCCTAAAACACTATAGCGGAATAGTGTATAGCGGGATGATTGATATTTAAAAATTTATAATATACATATATAAGAGGAACAGAGGAGACGCCGGAAAAGATGGCTTTTCCAGTTAACAGGAATAGATGAGATGACGGGAAAGTTGATTTCTCCGGTGAAATAGAATGGGTGAGCCAGTGAAGAGGGGAGAAACCGCTATGTTGAAGCCCCGACTTTTTGTGTAAAGAGGCAGATTGTGGGATGAAATTGATATGTGTTTTATAATGGGTAAATGACCTTTTTTACCCTTAAAAATAATTAAAATGCTGCGTTTTAGCAAAAATCAGAATAGGGTTTTGATGGGCCTGGACAAAAAGGGCCTCCACTGAAGACATATCAGCGGAGGAAGGGCAAAATAGGGAATGCTGGAATGAAAACAGTTAAGCAGGGTCTTAACAAACTGCATACGTGTTAAGAAAAGAGAGAGGAGAGAGATACGGGAATGGATATTAGAGGGGCTGAAAGGAGGAGATGAGGGGGAGGGGGGATTTTTGGGGGTAATCAGGGTGGCTGCTGTCACAGGATAGGATCATCATTTGTGTTGATTGCTTGCTATTGTTTTCTTTTTGCTACTTGTACTTAGGGATCATCCTTGTAATTTGCTTAATTCTAATAACAAGAGAAAGTTCTATCAGGTTTCTTGCTTTCCCAATTTTGCGCAATTGCACACTCAAACTTCTCCCTTGTCTGGCCCGAACCCCGCAAATTGCTGTGACATGACAAACACCCTGCAACGTGCGGCTGCCATTGCTGCCACATTGGCACGATAGTGCCGCTATAGTGTGCTATTAACAACTATGGTTGTTGGGTTGCCCACATTCATGGCAACTATAGGATGAGATGCATGAGTTTTGTCATTCTCATACCCATGCTAAGGCACATGCGATCTGAATTCTGCACTACAAAGAAAGGTATTCAATCCTTTTTGGAATATCTGTTAATGTAAGAATATTCTGTAATTATTATTTCCTATTATACATTGTATCTGGACATCAATTTATTTATATACAGTTAGGAAATAGAATATTCTGCAGTTAATTGTTGTAAATGACTTTGTATTATTTATTTGGGAAAATAGAATGAAAAAGGCACGGAAGCCAAAATTATTTGACATGGTATCATGAGTCACTTGCCCCAAATTGTGATTGCTTCAGCGACATTCTTGTTAGTCTCTCTTGTTTCTGATTCGTGCGTGCAATTTTGCTGGCCCCTGTTTCTGGTTCTGTGATGTAGCTCACTCGTTTCTAGTTTGTTTCCCAGTTTCTAGTTCTTGTTAGTGACTGCTTGCTCTTGGTTCATGACTTTGCTTGCCTCTGTTTGTGGGTTCGCAATTTCTGGTCTCAGTGTTCCGATTGTTGGTTTGAGACATTCTTCCTCTTGCAATTCTTTGTTTCTCAATCTTAAATTCATGGTATGGAAAATTTGTGTTTGCTTCACGACTGCCAAAGACGTGTGGGATTAATTAAAGAAAATTTACAATTAGGACAATGCCACAAAATGCTTTCAGCAAGAGCTTGATATTGCAAGCTATAAACTGGGTAATCTTTCTATTAAGGATTATTACTCTGGTTTTCTTAATCATTGGGCTGAATATTCATCCATCTTGCATGCTAATGTCCATAAGGAGTCATTGGCTGCTATTTAAGCAGTTTATGAGACCAGCTAACTTCGACTCTTACGAGTGCCTTTTAGAAAGCATAGCCTCATTGTTCACTCACTAGCTATGCTATACCATAAATACATAAATATAAAAGAATGACTGAATTCAGTCTAAACAAGTACTGATGTTGCGACACTCAGTCCAGTCCGGATTTTTGGTTTGGTACTGGCTTGGCCATGAGATTCATCTGTAACCAATTTCTCATGAAATTTAACCAGTATTTGAAATTGCCCGGGCTGGTCTACTGAACTGAGATCCGCCTCCTTCTTTGGATGTTTGTGTTGGTGAACTACTTCGAGAAGAGCAGCATCTATTCACCCAAGGGTTAATTCCTGTGACATGGCTGATTCTAACTCTGTTATAGTTGCCTATTCTGCTCAAAGTAAAGGCGAGGGTTGTGATATGTGGCAGGTCCAATGCTTCTCATGCAAACAATTTGGTCATATTGCTCACAACTGTTGCAATTAATTTTGCAACTACTGCAAGACTGGTCACATCATCATTGAGTGTCCTATGAGACCAGACCAATGTTCATTCCAAGCTTTGAATGCCACTACCGGTTCAGCAAGCCATTCTACTACTACTGCAATTTCTAAGAATAATGTTCTGTCTTCGGACGCAATGCAACAAATGGTACTATCAGCTCTCTGTGCCTTGAGCATTATGGGCAAGTCTACTACTGCTCCTTCCTCTTGGTTTGTTGATTTTGGTAACACCCTTTCCATATCTGCTATTATTGATCTTAATTCTATCTTTCGAGATGTATTTGTCTCCAGATTGGCTTCCAATTTGATTTCAATTGGTCAATTGGTCGATAATAACTGTAATGTTAATTTTTCTTGGGCGGTTGTTCTGCACAGGGTCAGGTGTCGGGAAACGTGATTGCAAAGGGCCCTAAAGTGGGTCGATTGTTTCCACTCCAGTTTACTCTTCAGTTTCTTGTCATTTGCTTGTAGTAATGTCCCAACCACATTTAAGACATGGCATAAAAAGTTAGGGCACCCAAATTCTGTCATTTTGTCACATTTAATAAAAAATGGTTTGTTAGGCAATAAAAATATTTCTACATGTCTTGTTCTATGTGAAAACTTGCCAAAAGTAAAACTCTTCCTTTTCCTTCTCTTGCCATTGACAAATGCTTTGATATTATTCATAGTGATGTTTGGAGTTTGTCTCGATTTATCTCATGCTCAATATAAATATTGTGACATTTATTGATGATTATAGTTGTTCTACTTGGATTTACTTTCTTCGCTCCAAATTAGAGGCGTTTATCCTATTTAAAAAATTTTCAGCTTATGTTGAAACCCAATTTCATGCCAAAATTAAAACTTTACAAACTGATTTTGGTGGGAAGTATCTTTCTCATGAATTTCAGGAGTACTTGCAACATGGCATCATTTCTCAATGCTCATGCCCCTATACACCTCAACAAAATGACATTGCGGAACGGAAAAATCATCATTTGCTTGATGTCTCATGGTCCTTACTCCTTGAAGCTTCTGTTCCACCTAAATTCCAGTTTGAAGCCTCATCAACGACTGTCTTTTTGATTAACTGTCTTCCTTCTCAGGTTCTTGGGCTTGAGTCCCCTTTCTTTTGTTTGTTTAATTCTCATCCTGGTTATCATGATCTTCACCCATTTGGTTGTGTTTGTTTTGTTCATTTACCTCCTAATCCTCACAAGCTAGGGGCACAATTTGTCTAGTGTGCTTTTTTGGGTTTTAGTATAGTACTACTAACAAGAGATTCTTGTGTTATGATCATGGTAGTTAAAATTGTGATTTAACCACATAAGATCTTATGATTTTACGATTTTCTCATGCCTCAGTGATCCCAATCACACTCTCTAATTTGTTTTGCTAGGATCATAAGATCTTACTCGTAAGATTGTAGGATCTAACGGTTTTTCCGATCCTTGCTCAAACTCATTTCTTTTGAAAAATCCAACAAATCTGACCCAATTTTCATTGGCCTATTAGATTAAAGACTTCAACTTATTCATTTTGGCACTTTTCTTCTTTTTTTTT